AATTAAAATTTTATGATAACCTATGCTAGTAAAGTTGCAACAAATAATGTCTCTCAGATAATTCTGATGAGAGTTTAAATTGGGACACACTTTCTCCAAAACAATACAGCTACACATATCAAGGGCCTGAAAATAGTTCATAGCTTTTAGTCTAATAAATCTCTCTAAAATTAGTCTATCATAAGGTAATAATCAAGGCAAACAAAGACGTGAGCATGAGGCTTTCACTGTCATTTTATTTATGATAACAAAAAGAGAAAGTTAGCTGAGTGTCCATCAATAGGGGATTGATTAAATAAATTTTAACATAATATAAATAATTATAATAACTAAAACTATAATAAGTGGAGCTTAAGCTACATAACTTCACATATGAGTTTGTTTATTTATATATTTATAGAAAAATACTAGATTATTTGTACATCCTGCATTGCTTACATTTTTATAATACAAGAAGATATGTAATTTTAAAACAGGCATTCTCAGTGGGCAATATAGCCATCAATGGGACAAAAACTTGTTTGAGGAGTGGGAGGGCAAAAAAAAAAAAACTTAGTTATTGCTATGGTTTGTAGCCCTCAAAAGGCCCACAGTACATAAACAGATGCACACTGCATGATATTAACACTTCAGGGGACTGGGTGGCAACACCTAGCAAAAGTGTTCAAAAACTCAGTATTTTTAAAATCTTAAGGTCTTGGGGAGAAATGACTAAAACAAAATGAACAAAAGAACTATCACAAGGAAAACAAACCCCAAAATATTAACAATGGTCATATTTAGGTTGTGGCATTATGAGTAACTTTTTGTTTCTTTTTATTTTATTCAATAACAAAATAATATCTAAAAATTATACAATGAAAATGTACATTCTTAATAAGGAAAAAAAGCAATAATTGAAATTTAATTGTAATTACATAAATTTAATTAAATAAATTAGCTTAGCGATATTAAAATTACAATTTTGAGCATGGAGAGAGAACTCGATGGATCTTGTGTTTGCCCTTCTCTGTGTTGTAGGGATATTACTTCCACACTGAAAACCCCTTCAAGGACTGGCCTGGAGCATTTGAGGAAGGCTTGAAAAGGCTGAAGGAAGGGGACCTGCCAGTCACCATCCTGTTCATGGAGGCAGCAATTCTTCAGGACCCTGGAGATGCAGAGGTGTCATTTCCCCTTCATCCTGCCAGGCTCAGAAAGTGGCTGCATGTGCTAAAGGGGGACAGAGGGTGACACAGAGTTCTACTAAGGTGACATTTTCACCAAGTAAAGGTTCCCAAAGGAGTTAATCTGGTTTATGGTTTAGTCTGATGTAACCTGCTTTCTAACCACATCTGCAATATCTACAGTACCCAAAAAATAAAGGGTGGGCCAGGAAATGAAAAACTAGAATTGCCTCCTTGGAAGCTGGGCAGTAGTTTTGGGGGTAGTGCACCATCTTGTCTGGGTCTACAGCTACGCCAATATCTCACTCTTGCTTTCCTCACTCCACATCTATTGAGCACATACTGTGCCCCAGGGATTGTGCCAAACACTGGCTTAAACTCTGAAGATCTGAGAAAATGGGGCAGTTGAAAAGACATGTTGGTGGTTGATCTGGAGAGACAAATAAATCAGTGCAATGTCATAAATGCCGTGTCAGCGTATGCACAGGAGGCTAGGAGACCCAGCCTCCCGTACCAGTAAATCCAAAGCTGAGGTGTGAAGGGGAGGGGGTTAATGAAACGCAGGGGGGAGTCTAGTTGTTGCTTAGAGGAAATGGTATGTGGGTAGCAGAGGGACCTGAAACATTGGGTCAGAGGGGAGAGGG